CTCTCCCTCTTCATTTTGTCCGTGACCAGATTAGCCTTAAAAAAAAAAAAAAAACCCCGTCCTGGCCAGGTGGCTCAGTTGGTTGGAGCATTCATGTACACCAAAAGGTTGCAGGTTTGATTCATGCACATACCTAGGTTGCGTGTTGGGGCATGTATGAGAGGCATCCAATCGACCTCTCTCTCTCTCTCAAGTCAATAAAAACAGCATCAGGTGAGGATAAAATATCCCTCAGCTATAGGATTGTCGAGCTCCTGTCTTCAGTCTCTGCCTTCTCCCCAACCAAACACTAGACAGACATTTGCTGCCTGGATCGACATTCAAGGCCTCCACCTGTCTGCCTTGTACTCTTCTCGAACTCCTCTACGTGAACTTCCTCTTCTAGTAAAAGCAGCCCGTTCGCTCTTCCTAAAGCCCGTGTCATCCCTGAGACAGCCTGCCATTCTCCTTGCCTTTGGCGACCCTACTTCCTCCCCATTCACTCCTCCTTCATGGCTGGTTAGGAACCTCCTTAGTCCTGGCTCAGCCCCTCTCTGGCTGGGGCTTTGGAAGAATTACTTCTGCCTCCTGCACCTCAATTTTCTCATCTGTGAAGTGAGGAAATGTACCTCTCTCCCAGGGTTATTTGAGGATGTAATAAGATAATGCGTGTAAAATGCGTAGCATGGAGAAAACACCTTCCAGTGTCACTCATGCTGTTGTCAGGGGCATTTCCTTAGTGCCGGTCACGGAGCAGCCTGGCAGGGAGTCAGGAGGCCTGGACTTCACTCCCAACGCTTCAAACCCTGCCTTGGGACATGGGCCAGGCCACTGCCTCACTGGGCTGCAAACTGTCATCTAGCTTCTTTTGTTCTAATTCTGTGATTGCTTCTTCCTTTGAGTTTCCATACCTGCTCCGATGCTTCTACGTGACAGTTGCCTGTCTTGAATTACTGACTGTTGTTGTTACCACACGTGTCACCTCTCACCTCTGAGGTGGTGTGGGTGGAGGCGAGGCACTGCTCTCAGCCACAGCCTGACAGTCCCCTCCAGGGGCACAGCCCATGCTTATTAAGTGCTGGTGTGGACCAGCGCTTGGCATTCACATTAGGACAAGCTTGTGAGGCCAGGGCTATCAGCATCCCCATTTTACAGATGGGGAGACTGAGGCCCAGGCGGACTTAAGTAGCCTGCCCCAGGTCATCTGTCTCATGATGCAGAGGCAATGGTTGACCCCACATGGTCTTGCCTGCTCACCCTCTCTGCTGTCAACCTCCTCTGTGCTGCCTCCTTCAATAGAGGTCGCCTGTTGGTGCAGCTCCCTCAGCCTCCCCCGCAGGCCTCTCTGCTGCCTCGTGGAGTGGAAGACCTGCCTGCGGGCATGAGGATGCCTGAGCCTCAGACAGGAGAACCTGCGCCCAGCAGGACGGGCAAGTCCCCATTGTTGCCCAGCCCCCTTTGCTGCTCAGAATGACGTCCGGGAAGGGAGAGGCCCATTGGGTGCAAATGCAAATTTACTGTGGCCTGGAAAGACTCTGTTACATAAGATACACAGGAGAGGGACATGCCTCACCTGGCGGTTTCCTGGAGTGGGGCGGGGGCATGGGAGTACAGGCGAGAGCAAAGGAGAGGGGCATAGAGGGCCTTGCCCGGGAGTTAGCGCCCTCCTGACAGTGGGGCGCCAGCTCCCTCCTAAACACGGACGTTCACATGCACACGCACACTGCATACATACTTGCACCCACGCGTGCCCCTCTGGGTGACCTTAGCCAAGTTGCTTAACATTCCCAAGTGTCATTTCATCTGGGCAAGGGGAGCAGTGCTACCGCTTTACTTACTGGCTGCTTGTGGTGTGAGGGGCACCTCAGCACGGTGCCTGGTACGCGGCCAGGATTCAGTAAACACGGCACGTTCCAAAGCAGCCCTCAAGCTCTGCAGGCTGAGGCTCTACTGTGGACATGCACGGAGCTCGTGGTGGCTTCTCCATCCTCACCTCTTTCGATGCCCCGTCGCTATGCTCCAGGCCTGCACACTGACCTGAACCCAAGTCTGAGGCATTCTAGCCCTGCCCTCAAGCGTCTTGACCTTTCCTGGTCCAAGTTTAACGTGAATGGAAAGACTCTCAAGACTTGGGGCGGTGGACGTCCTTGTTTCCCAAGGAGAACAGTGAGGGGTGCAGCGGCCGCTCCAGTGCTGCTCTCCTCTCCATCTCCTCCACATGGAAACGTGACTTTTCATGAATTGCTCTTATTTCCCATGCCTTCATAGACAAATTTTTTATTTCTAAATAAATCATCAAATTAACATGCCAAATATCTGAAACTATTTCTAAACTAGAGGCCTGGTGCACAAAATTCATGCACGAATAGGGTCCCTAGGCCTGGCTGGCGACCAGGGTCAATCAAAGCCTTCTGGCTGCCAGCTGGGGCCTACCTTCATTTCATGCCACCCCCTGGTGGTCAGCACATGTCATAGGAAGCAATCAAACTCCTGGTGTGAGGTCAAACTCCCGAGGGGACACTTTGCATATTAGCCTTTTATATATATACTAGAGGCCCGGTGCACAAAAATTTGTGCACCCGGGTGGAAGGGGGGGGTCCCTCAGCCTGGCCTGTGCCCTCTCGCAGTCTGGGACCCCTCGGGAGATAACACCCTGCTGGCTTAGGCCTGCTCCCGGGTGGCAGAGGGCAGGCCTAATCCCTAGGTGCAGCCCCTGGTCAGGCTCAGAGCAGGGCCAATTG